TTGCATTCTACGGTGCTGCTTTTCCATTGTTTTTCTATGTAAACATGCAATAGATGGACATCTTTGACCACTGCTCTTGTGACTTGCATCTTTTGCGGTGTCTAGCAGTTGACTACAAGTTCAGTTTTATTACAACTTTAAGTCTGTGCTGTGACTTGTTTATGATGTGTTGTGTTATTATAATATATTGTGATATTATTTTACTCATCCTCAGGCCATAAGATGAGTTTCTTCATGGGAACAATTTTGGAGAAATGTAGCATTGCTTCTCTTGCTCACCAGTGGATCCTCTGCAGTGAATGGGTGCCGTCAGAATGAGAGTCCAAACAGCTGATAAAAACATCACAATAATCCACAAGTAATCCACACCACTCCAGTCCATCAATTAATGTCTAGTGATGTGATAAGCTGCATGTTTGTAAGAAACAAATCCATTATTAAAACGTTTTAACTTCAAACCATTGTTTCCAGCTAAAATGCATAATCAATAATATTGCTTCCTTCAGTGAAAAAGTCATCTTGTCTGAATCAGGTGAGAAATATGCACAGATCAAGCACCACAGTCCAAAACAGTTCCAAACAAATATGTTGAGGATTTTGATGTGAGAGGACAACAGGGGATGGACTTTTTCACTGGAGGAAACGTCGACTGGTATTTTGTCCAGAAGCGACGGTTTGAAGTTAAAAACGTCCTAATTACAGATTTGTTTCTTACAAATGTGCAGCCTTTTGCTTCACATGACATTAATTGATGGACTGGAGTGGTGTGGTGTGGATTATTGTGATGTTTTTATCAGTATATATATATATATATATCTGTCTGTCTGTCTGTCTGTCTATCTTACAGTTCAAAAGTTTGGGGTCAGTTTTTATTTTTAAAGAAATTAATAGTTTTATTCAGCAAGGATGCATTTAATTAATCAAAAGTGACAGTAAAGCCATTTATAATGTTACAAAACATTTGTATTTTAAATAAATGCTATTCTTTTGAACTTTTTATTCATCAAAGAATCCTAAATCATCAACTGGTGAGCAAGTGATGTAATGCTACATTTTTCCAAATCTGTTCATGTGAAAAAAAAACTCATTGACATCTTGAATGGCCTGAAGGTGAGTAAATGCTTCACAAATGTTAATTTTTGGGTGAACTGTTCCTTTTAATGGGTCTGAGTTTCTAGCACATTTATCCAGCGTATTTAAATATCACATTTCCCCTTGTAGTGCATTGTACCGGCCACTCTTTAACTTTACCATGCATTACTCATTTACCTTTAAGGACTGTTTGTATTTACTCTGATAAGGGAGCTGTACGAATCCTGCGCTTTTTATTACCTTGTGTCTTTAGCAGGTTAGGTCTGGTAAATGCTTGTCAGGGAGATTTATAGAGCCAGTCCTCTCGAGGGGTTTTCCTCCTCCTCTCTGTCTTTTTTGTGGCTTGTAGGTCTCTCTTACTGATTAAACAGTAGATCGTTTATCTCATTTGGAGATGACGTCACTGTGGGTGGCTGTGATTGGCTGAAAGGCTTGCTAACCCCGGCCCTGCTGGGGAGCACTGACCTCCTTTTCCTCTCTGAAAGAGGACTGGCGTGTCCTCCCTACCAATCTGCCTTTCACACACACTCTCAACCCCCATCTAGTGCTCTTCCCATATACCTTACAGGGTCATTCCTGCTCCGCAGACCCTTTTAACTCTGCAACTTTGAAGAAATTGATATGCTTGTCTTGTAATTTAAGGACATATTTTGATAACAGTGTATATTAGACTTTATGAATTATGACTATTGTTTACGCAATGACAAGAAAATGATCAGAATGTTCGTTAGGAGGTAAAGCTTTTACCTACCTTTTGATATCATCAAGCTGATTTGTGTAATTTGATCAGTGTACGTACACTTCAGTCATTATTCATTCGCCCTCATACCCAAACCTTGTTTGCTATTTTTTGTCATGCAGATCTTTCCATGCAGCATTGATCGTAACTCCACAAAGAAGTACCTTAAAAGTGGCATAAGGATAAAATAAAAGCCGTCCATGTGGCTTGTGCGCTTTATTTCAAATCTTCTGAAGTCACGTGATAAAAAGTCAAATCTCATAGTCCTCTTTGTTGTGATACATGCATTTTTTAAATAATTGTTTTAAACCCAAACTTATCTTAACTAAGAGCTACAGCAACAGTGTTGTTATCGTTAAGTAAAACAAAAACTATTAAACAATTTTTTAGGTTACTGAAATAAAGAAAAAATATAAATAGATTAACTTTGAAATATAATTGGAAAAAACTAAAATAAATTGGACTTTATTTTGCACCAAAATTACTACAAGTAAAAATAAAAATAAAGCTAAATAGAAAAACAAACTAATAAACATGATAAAAGCACATAGCAAAATTACTAAAACTAAAATTAAATGAAAACTTAACATAAATATTTAAACTAATTCAGAATAGTAATAAATACTATTGGCCTAGTATATAAATAATACTAAAATAACACTTCACAACAAAATATGATTTCATGATTTCATATCATTTTTTTAAATAGTTTTGAGAGCAACAGCAACAGAATTATTGTTTTAAAAATGTTAAAAACTGCTAGTAAAAAGTTTTCAGTAATTGAAAATAAAGCTAAAATAAAATAGAATTATTACATGGAAAAATTTGAAACTTAAATGAAAAAGAACTTAAACAGAACTTAAACTGAAACAAGCGTAAGCTGAAGTACTAAAATTACTAAAAGTAAAACTGAAAAATACAAATAAATTTAAGCTAGATAGAAATGTTAAAAACAATAACTAATAAAAATGACAAAAGTACAACAAAACTACTAAAAAATTCATTAAAGCTAAATAGAAAAATCTAAAAACAACAATAAACCTGACAAAAGCACATAGCACATAAATTACTAAGACTTAAACAAAAATTAAAATATACTGGAAATAAATAATTTAATATACATTAAAGCTAATTCAGAATATTACAAAATACTATAATGCATATAAATAATATTAAAATAAGACTAAAGCAAAGTCGGAGAAATTTCTTCAACTGCATACAGGTGTGAGTAAATAATGACAGAATTTCATTTTATTTGCACTACACCTGTAATATTGCGATTAAACTCAACAAACGAATATGATTTCCTGACACACATGGTGAGGACAAGAAAATCCACCTCATATCAGAAGTGTCACTCACTTTCTCTCTCCCTCTCGCCCTCCTCCCTTCAGCCCGGGTTGACCCGTCAGGTCTCGCGTTTAACCAGCGCTTTTCTAATTGCTTGCTGGGATTTATGTGAAGGGCAGGGGCCTGTCAAGACTGTGTGAATAGGTAGGTGGGGCAAACCTTGTGACTTTTCTGCCTCCCTCCCCCTCCGGTGTGTGCGCACGGGGGGCAGATGAGCGGGACTCACCCCTGCTGGATAAACGGTGGCAGGTGATTGGACAGAACCATGGTGACATGCAGCAGCGGAGGCTGCACTGAGCCGCTCTCTCTAATTACCTCATTTGAGCTTGTCTGCAGACAGAGAGACCGAGAGAGAGGAAGCTCGCTGCTCTACGCCAGATACTTGCGTTTATGTTTTATGTTCACTCAACTCTTGAGAAATGCTGTGCACTCAGGCTTACATAAGCTGCCGAGCTTGTCCTAAATCACAGCCCTGCCTGCCATCCAGCACAGGGGTAAGTTGCTCTGAAACAGCAATTTATGTGTGCTTTTCTTGTGTGTGTGTGTGTGTGTGTGTGTGTGTGTGAAATCGATGCGATTTGTTGGAGGGCTGCTCTGCTTCCCTGTGGGATCATTTGAGAGCGATTTCAAGCTGATAAATGAAACTCTAACAGCCTTAAAACAAGGTTTCGGAGATGATATTGAGTTCTCCAGCCTGCAGGGTTTCTGCATATGAGGTGTAGCAGGGAACTAAAGCACCAATGAAAGGGAACATTCATGACTTCTTCTGCAACACAGGCTGTCTGCACTTTGAATGAACGGGTTGTTGCATACTGTACTGTATATAGGACATGAAGTGAAATTTAGCTCTCGTGGGACGATAAAGGAGTGTCACTGTATCTGATAAAATGGCAGTGTGACAAATAAACGTCCATGTAAAAATGTGGTTGTGCTCGAAATAGCATAGTAGCTTTCTGCTCTTACTATTGCTGCAGTATGTAGTGCGTATACTGTGCATATGTGATTTTTTTGACCTACAGTGCTAGATATGCTAAAATGTTCAGTATACAACAGAGCTTATATGGGGTAATGTGTCCCACAATGCAGTGCGCTTGATTTGACCTTCTGTTTTCGGTATGATGAATGAACCTTAAGTAATATCAGCATTTATAAACATCTATTTCATGCTAAAACTTAACCTGTTTTACACAAATTGGCTTACAAATGCAATTTAAAAAATAAAATAAATAAGGATGGGTGGCATTCGCTAAATTTTACATTCAAATTGATAAGAAGTTTTATTCAGCAAGGATGCATTTAATTAATCAAAAGTGACAGTAAAGCCATTTATAATGTTACAAAACATTTGTATTTTAAATAAATGCTATTCTTTTGAACTTTTTATTCATCAAAGAATCCTAAATCATCAGTTTCCACAAAAATATGAAGAAGCACAACTGTTTTCAACATTGATAAAAATCAGCATATTAGAATGATTTCTGAAGGACACTGTGACCCTGAAGACTGGTGTAATGATTCTGAAAATTCAGTATTGCATCACAGAAATAAATTACATTTTAAAATATATTCAAATAGAAAACAGTTAGTTGAAATTGTAAAGTCTTTTCACAATATTACTGACTTTAATGTATTTTTTGTGCAGCCTTGGTAATCAGAAGGGACATCTTTTCAAAAAGATTTAGAAAATCTTAACCCCAAATCTTGAATGGTAATTTGTTTATTTATTTAGTTAGTTAGTTAGTAAGCAGTAAGTTAGTATTCAATTTTGAATGCAGCCAAAGACTCTTACTGGTTTCATTTATTTTCTACTGTGTTGCAGGTAATCAAAGTGTACAGTGAAGACAACACAAGCCGTGCAGTGGAGGTGCCCAGTGACATCACTGCCCGGGACATATGCCAGCTGTTCATCCTGAAGAACCACTGCATCGATGACCACAGCTGGACCCTGTTTGAGCAGATCCCACATCTGAGTATCGGTAAGCTTCTCAGCAAGTAAAAACTGCAACTAAAAAAATGCAACAAATGGATAAACTGAATATTTTTGGTACATTCTCACCGAATATAATGCAGGCAAACATAAAGATCACATGAAAAAAAAATATCATTTAATTTAAACTGGAGGATGCACATTCTTATTCTAGAGACGAAGTATCATAAAAGTCCATATGTGTTATATGTACTATACTGTAAGTTATCTACCTATCTATCCATCCATCCATCCATCCATCCATCCATTAGTGGTCGACCGATATTGGTTTTTTGACTGCAGATGCCGATATCTTGGAAAGCAGGGTGGCCGATATAAAGCCGATATAATTGAATTTATTTTAATTAATATTTAAGAAATTTGAAATAATTTCAAAATGGATTAAAAAATGTATTTGTAAAATAAACATACTTATACTTTAGATGTCAAAGTATTTTCCACAAATAAATAAATATTTAATACAAGTAAACTGTAACCAACAGAGCACTCAATATTCTGGGAAGTTTGTGTCGTGTGCATTAGGAATCATATTTTTTCAAATAAAGCCAAGGTAACACTCATTTTACATACAGCACACAGTGAAAATGATATGAATATGACAGTGGACAAATTAATAAAGTGCAGCATAATTTGAAATCGGGAATTTAATGTTTAAAGCATTCAATTTGCACGGACCGAAAGTCACGCAGAGAACACGTGATCATGCAGGTCACATGCACAACTTCACAAGATCTCACAACTGGATTCGACTAAGTTTGCAAGATTTGTCAAATTAAATTGTCATTAGCCATTCAAAGATTTGCTTAAATGATGTAAATGTGTATTTGCTGAATGCTGATGGCAAACGAGAAAGTATTATAATGTTTGCCTTTCTATTACTAATAATATAAAAGCAATCGTTATAATACTTTTTGTATACATTTTAATTCCTTTGTTTAACAGTTCTATCGGATTATTAGACAGACTTAAATCCATATTAGACAGAACTGTTAACGACGACAGCGAACAAGAGGGAGAATGTGAGCACTGTGTGCTCAGGCGCTGCCGCTCTCAGCGCCGTCAAAATAAATGTCCCGCCTCGAACGCGTCGGCCAAACAGAAAAACTTATCGGCCGATACCGATATTTGAAAAATGCCAAATATCGGCTGATATATCAGCCTTGGCGATATATCGGTCGACCACTACCATCCATCCATCCACACACTGATCTGCCCTAACTTTCCTCGATGCACTGATAAGAGCTCCTGAGCACAGTAGTGATGTCTGATTCATAGATTACTTGTTCTTTTGAGTTCAGTCTTTTCAATGAATCAGTTGATCCAGTTCACAAAGCCGGTCTGAATGATTAATTCATGAGTCAATTAGTCTCTTAGTTCCAGCTAGATCAGAACTGATTCTGATGCATTATTTAAACACAGGCTTTGCACGCAGGTTTCCAGAGCCGGTTTCCATCTGCTCACATTCTAGCACGGTGTTCCTCGTCCCGGGGTTAAAGACGCCACCTGCATTATTTATCTTCTTGGTAACCTGTCTCACTGCAGGAGTTTCAGTGCTAGTGCGAACACTTGGCAGGACCTCCATGCAGAACAGGCCAAACTGGGATCTTGAAACATGCTATTCACTACTAAGTGAAACCTCAGAATTGTTGGTGATTTTAAAATGTTATTTAAATTTTAATATTGAAGTGATTTTCATGTATTTTCATGCACTTTTTATTGGGTTTCATGCACTTTTTATAATAACTTTCCTAGAGATGCTGTCTCGTACAGTACTGTGTTCAATTTGAATGTGGGATATTCCTACTTTGATATACATTACTGTAGTCGCACCGGTAGTGACGTCATGGCTGTCGCCGGCCAACGAGTTGGTGTTTTTTCAATGTATGCTTCAGATACGAGTCACGACGAGGCGTTCCCCATAGCGACCCCTAGAGGACGCAGTTCGAAGTTCCCATGAAAGGGAAACATAATTGATGTTGTTTAATGATCAACAAAGTAATAACAACAATTTACAAAGGAAAAATAATGCCATGCGGTGCTAGAATTTGTTGAGAGAGGATAACTTGCACATCTTTTTATGCACATACTAAACAGGTTTTATTGCATTCAAGTTTAAACTTTTACTGTAAACAATGATATTATCAACAAGTTGATATGTTCAAATGTTTTTCCATTACTTTAACTGATAAAAAATAAAAGTTAACAAATTTCGATATTCAATTTCATTTTTAAGTTAGTGTAATATAATTTAAGTTTAAATTACTTGTACAATCAGTTTTATTATGCCCAAAAATGTATGGCAGCTTAATTTGTTGTTTGACTAAAATGACTTAAATCAGATCTGATATCTCTGACTTCTGACTATATACTTCCATTGTGCTCGGAAAATGATGTATCGGAAACAAAATTGCTACATTTTGCTGTAGTTTTCAACAAAAATAGCAATATTTAGCAGAGTAAAAATTCTGCCACACAGTGCTGAAATTTGATCAGAGAGGATCATTTACTGTGAATTACACATCTGTCTATGCAAACACTTGCTAAACATTTGGTAGGTTTTTTTATTTTATTTATAATTTTTATAATTTTTTATATATATATTTTAATTTGTTCTTGTTTGTTATTATAAATCTACTAAAATACTTTTTATTGCTTAATTTGTTGTTCGACTAAAATTACTCAAAATGATTGTCTTTTAAGCCTTTACACTCTAAATATCATTAAATACGTAAATATTGAGATATATTGTACAGAGCCCCGCACATGGCATGCAGGAAAAAAATTATATAGGCTAAATTGTGTGCACGATTTACTATTCCGTTCCCTCGATTTGTAAATTGTGCGCACGATTTACTATTTCGTTCCCTCGATTTATAAATTGTGCGCACGATTTTACTATTTCGTTCCCTCGATTTATAAATTGTGCGCACGATTTACTAATTCATTCCCTCGATTTATAAATTGTGCGCACAGTTTACTATTTCGTTCCCTCAATTTATAAATTGTCCGCACAATTTACTAATTCGTTCCCTCGATTTATAAATTGTGCGCACGATTTACTATTTCATTCCCTCGATTTATAGATTGTGCGCACGATTTACTATTTCCTTCCCTCGATTTATAAATTGTCCGCACGATTTACTAATTTGTTCCCTCGATTTATAAATTGTGTGCACGATTTAGCAAATCGAAGGAACGAATTAGTAAATCATGCACACAATTTATAAGTCGAGAGAACGAATTAGTAAATCATGCACACAATTTATAAGTCGAGAGAACGAATTAGTAAATCATGCACACAATTTATAAGTCGAGAGAACGAATTAGTAAATCATGCACACAATTTATAAGTCGAGAGAACGAATTAGTAAATCATGCACACAATTTATAAGTCGAGAGAACGAATTAGTAAATCGTGCGGACAATTTATAAATCGAGGGAACGAAATAGTAAAGCGTGCGCACGATTTACTATTTCATTCCCTCGATTTATAAATTGTGCGCACAGTTTACTATTTAGTTCCCTCAATTTATAAATTGTGCACACAGTTTACTATTTCGTTCCCTCGATTTATAAATTGTGTGCATGATTTACTAATTCGTTCCCTCGATTTGCTAAATCGTGCACACAATTTATAAGTCGAGAGAACGAATTAGTAAATCGTGCGCACGATTTATGTATTTTTTCTTGCATGCCATGTGCGGGGCTCCGTAATATTGAATGTCATCAAAAGGCTGAAAATTTAGATGTAGTTTTTTTCGCCAAGCTCCAGATGAAGAAACAGCATGGAGATGACGTATAGCTAAATTTGGTCAAAGCCAATGCAAACAGCATTATTGCAGTGAAGATCTGTCCATTACTGCAGTAACGCTATGGGAATTAATTAGTATGACTTATAACAGTAGTCTAACTCTTCCAGATGGCTGCTTCTAAACAGATGCTTTCCATTCAGTCATTAAACATGCATTTAGGGTTGCAGGAGCTGAATAATATTTAATGATAAAGTGGAATAACGAGCTCCCCCACTCATCACTATTGAAGGTTGCTCATTATCGAGGCATAATTTTTGAACAGTGTTAATAATTAATCTGTCAAGCCCACGGTGCAGTGGGATGGTAAAACTTAGAGCTGGAAACAAACGAGGGCAGTAAAATCTCATATTATTAATAAAACAAATTGTTCGGACTCTAGATTCTGATTGGATAAGCCATGTTTAAGTCTATAAAATGCCGATAAACACACACCTGTAACTGCATAATAAAGGATTTCTATTGTAATATATTTTAAAATGTAATTTATTCTTGTAATTCAAAGCTGAATTTTCAGCATCATTACTCCAGTCTTCAGTGTCACATGATCCTTCAGAAATCATTCTAATCAATAAGCTGATTTCTTATTATCAATGTCGAAAACAGTTGTGCTGCTTCATATTTTTGTGCAAACTGATACTTTTTTTCAGGATTCTTTGATGAATAGAAAGTTCAAAAGAACGGCATTGATTTGAAATAGAAATTCAAATGAATAGACTTTTGTAACATTATAAATGCCTTTACTGTTACTTTTGATCAATTCAATGCATCCTGTTTTTGTCTTCATAAGCTTTTATCAAAATCTAATAATTCACTTTTCAAGTTACAAAGTCCCAGCCTACATTTTTTTTTTCTTGTTAAATATCCACTTTTAATTGCATTATGTTAGTAAATGGGTTACACATTTTACTTTATGTTCTCTAATGCACATATTGTGCTTTAGTGCACATGCATGGTTCATAAATTCATAAGCATGTACTAAACGAACTCTTGCTGTAATTTATTCTTGTAATTCAAAGCTGAATTTTCAGCATCATTACTCCAGTCTTCAGTGTCACATGATCCTTCAGAAATCATTCTAATCAATAAGCTGATTTCTTATTATCAATGTCGAAAACAGTTGTGCTGCTTCATATTTTTGTGCAAACTGATACTTTTTTTCAGGATTCTTTGATGAATAGAAAGTTCAAAAGAACGGCATTGATTTGAAATAGAAATTCAAATGAATAGACTTTTGTAACATTATAAATGCCTTTACTGTTACTTTTGATCAATTCAATGCATCCTGTTTTTGTCTTCATAAGCTTTTATCAAAATCTAATAATTCACTTTTCAAGTTACAAAGTCCCAGCCTACATTTTTTTTTCTTGTTAAATATCCACTTTTAATTGCATTATGTTAGTAAATGGGTTACACATTTTACTTTATGTTCTCTAATGCACATATTGTGCTTTAGTGCACATGCATGGTTCATAAATTCATAAGCATGTACTAAACGAACTCTTGTTTGTGATTTCCAGAGCGAACCATAGAAGACCATGAGTCGGTTATGGAGGTTCAGTCAGGCTGGGGAATGGACTCACACTGTTGTCTGTACTTCAGGAAGAATTATGCCAAATACGAGTTCTTCAAGAAGCCTCTTGTAAGTGTGTGCGTGTGTGTATCGGGACACTTGCAGCCCTGCTAATGTATAATTGATTTGCTGAGGTTTAGCCAAACATCCAGGGTTACCAATTCAAGGTCATTAATGATTGAAACAGAGACACATAATAGGGCTCTTTAATTGTACTGGTTAAGAATTCAAGGTAATGCCTAAATAATCAAGTACAGATCACTAACTCCTGTGATTTTAAAGGTCACGGATCCTAATACCAGATTTAACAAAGGTGCTTTAAGTGGTTTCTTTTATAGTATCTGTAAAATGCTCCTAATACCTGACAGATTTCATTGAAATAGGTGAAATCGCACGTCTCTGTTACAGAAATAGACAGTAAACAATAAAAATGATATGAAATTTTCCTCAAAATGTTGGAGATTGTATTTATACAGTATGTGGGTCATTGCAGGACTTTTTCCCAGAGCACATGGTGTCTATATCCAGTGAAACCAATGGAATCATGAACCACTCACAACTTATACAGGTGAGCATCTTCATCTCATGCTGTTATTATTATTAAAGGCGTACAGAGTCATTGTTTCTTCTGCTAGTTAGTTCTTTTGGACATTATACAGGCACATACACAATGTGGATATAGCATCACACGTATACTGTAAACAAGAAATAAACGTTTTGTTAAAATGTTCACAAGCATATGTGTCATATAATCAAGGTAGGTTATATTTCTCTCTAAAAAAAAAAAACTATGGTGATTGGCTAAATGTTTTTTACCAACGGAGGCACGACAGCTCAGCGCTCCCCCGGCCTCCCCCTCCCCTTCTCTATCACCTAGCGGTTGTAATTACATCAGCAGATTCGGCACATTCGCGATAGAAAAGCGGCGCTTTCACGTTATGGTATTACAACTGTGAAAGGCTGTGCCTCCCCCGACGAGCCACCACTGAGTTTAATACTATTTTTTAAAAGTAGTTTAACATTTTTATTTATGCACATTTGAAAAGTACCTTGATGTAACAAAAAGAAAGATTTTTAAATGTGTATTTCATATGTTATGATATTCAAAATTAACATAAAACATAAATGTGCCAGTATTGAAGAAACACCTGAGTGATTTAATTTAGCCAAGCGATCTAGTCTGTCTCTGTCAGTTTGGAAACGAGACAGGTGAGGCTTATAAAGGTGAGACAAAGCCTGGCTTTGTGGGTTTTTTCTTGCTTTTCTTTCTCTGTCTCTGTCTCTCTTTCCTTTTTCTTTTGGCTCGCCTCACTAGCGGTGTTGCTGAGATAAAGCTCCTGCCGTTGCAACACGTTTCCATGCTATCTCTCGCCACGGATATGCATATTACAGCCTCGGTGTAACTGAAGCCAGCAGCCTTAGTCTCTCTTTGAGCTTGCGGCATTGATTTAAATTCTGGAAAAGACTTCAAATATGTAAAAAAAAAAAAAAGAATAATTTGAGGTGTAAAGCAAAGAAATGTTCTTCAAATCCACTGCATCATTACTCCTACTTGTGATAAAAAAAAAAGTGACGTGACATGTGGCCAAGTATGGTGACCCATACTTGGAATTAGTGCTCTGCATTTATCCCATCCAAAGTGCACACACACAGCAGTGAACACACACACCGTGAACACACACCCGGAGCAGTGGGCAGCCATTTATGCTGCGGCACCCGGGGAGCAGTTGGGGGTTCGGTGCCTTGCTCAAGGGCACCTCAGTCGGGGTATTGAAGGTGGGAGAGAGTGCTGTACATTCACTCCCCCCACCTACAATCCCTGCCGGTACAAGACTCGAACCCACAATCTTTGAGTTATGAGTCCGACTGTCTAACCATTAGGCCACGATTTCCCCATAACCAATTTGAAAGCATGTGAGAGTGTAAAAGAGCAGCAATAGCGCAGCCAAAGTGAACCAGATTTCAACAAACTGCCTGACTGTTGATTTTTTTATTTATTTTTTATTCCCAGTCCCTCCTGGTGTGCACAGGTCAAGTCTTTTGTCTCTAGGAGTCTGTGAACGCTCACACATTCTCTTCTCTATATTACATTACAAATTCCACACATGTCGCTCGCACGTGTCGTGATGTGCCGTTCATGTCTCACATGTTTGGATTTATTCCTTGCTACAGCAGCTTAGGAACTTCACGCTGTGACGGAATCTCATATACGCTCACACATTTGACTGCTATGAGTGATGACTTTTGAAGTTTATATCTTATATGAGTTGTAATCGGTTTCCACCAAAATATGAAGCAGCGCAACTGTTTTCAACATTGATAACAATGTTTCATGAGCAGCAAATCAGCATATTCGAATGATTTCTGAAGGATCATGTGACACTGAAGACTGGAGTAATGATGCTGAAAATTCAGCTTTAAGGAATAAGGAATAAAGGACATTTTAAAATATATTCAATAAATAAATATATTCAAACAGTTATTTTAAAATGCAAAAATATTACTTTTTGATTGTGTTTTTTGATCAAATAAATGGAGCCTTGGAGAGCAGAAGAGACTTTTTCACTCTTTTTATTTCTGTTTTATAATAAATAAAATCATGTGAAAGTAAATATTTGCAGATTACATATTTTGGAAAACTGATCCCGAACTTAACTGTATAACAGAGAGGAAAACTTATTTTATTGATTTGTTTTGTAGATAGATAGCTTGCCAGTTTAATGGTCCATTTAGCAATAAATAGCAATGATGCATATTTTAGGTGTGAATTCCTATTTTAATGTTGTATTATTCTTATTATTTTCTCTTTTCTAAAGGAACCCAGACACTTGCAGTTCATTGCAGAGTTCAGTGACAGTGACGTCTACACGTTATTATCTGCCAAAAAAGTTTACGGCGCCCCGACAGACTACGGCTTCTGTGTGAAGGTAATTCAATGCAGGGACTTTCAGCCACTTTCGGTCTTCAGATTGCACAATGTTTTGACTTTTTGCACAGACTTTATAATCAGTCTCACTGTAATACTTGATTATACAGGACTGCAGCAGTCGAGGTCAGTGTTAGCAATGGTTTTATGATTTAATAAGCCTCATTATGTCTCAGATTTATTGTTTATTGAGGGTTATATAAAACTGCTATCAAACAACCTGTCTGCCTCCTTATTTTTCGTGAACTTTGTAATGTTTCTTTTGTGTTAAAACATTGATATCTGCTCTGATGTGTGTGAGAGTGGGAATATTAGGTAAAATATTCCGGCTGAAGTGCATGAGTTAACGGATGATAGTTATTTCACGATAGTTACTGTGCATTGAACCACTTATCATATGGATGCTTAAATAAATGGACTTGAACTATTGATTGCAATTTTGTTATTTAAGGAAGAGACAGTGAAACATTTAAACTTTAGAAAAGCTCTTGGGACAGTGATCAGTTATACACTTTAGCATCATTAACATTTTTGACAATACATGTTTATTTGTACAGCACATTTCACACACAATATTAATTCAAAGTGCTTAATATAAAAAGTAGAAGTCATAAAAATGCACATAAATAATAAAAAAATGAAGGAAAAAATGATAAATTAAAATGGAATAAAAGTAAACATTGAAATAGAAATAAGAGAAAAATAAAATAAGTACACAATGTCAGCATTGACAGAGATCTGTGTAATGCATTTCTAAATCTGAGATTTAAAGGGAGTGTTCATTCAAATCAATATACAGAAAAGGTCTGATAAAGATCTTTAAAGGAAAGCTGAGCTTTGAAGTGTTGATGTCTCCTCATATCCAGGCAAGCAAGTTGAATTCTGCACGTGATCTGAAACTGCTCTGTGCGGATGACGAGCAAACCAGGACGTGTTGGGTTACAGCCATGCGCCTCTTCAAGGTGAGAACTGCCTCTCTCTCTGACTCTCTGTAAGGTTTGTCTCCATCGTATCTCTCCGTGACAGTGGTCCTGCTGAATCCTCAGCCGTGAGGAAACTCAATCTGAGGCTCTGTGTTCAAATGCACTCCTCACACAAAAATTGCAACAGCAAGGCATCCAGAAGTCATTCATTTTAAATTAGATTTGACGATTTCTGCTGACATGAGTGGCAAAGTGATATAATTATTTTTGTTCATATAATGCATATGCATTGCTAAGGTTTCTATACATTACATTGCAATGGACTGCTTAAATAAAACACACACACACACACACACACACAAATGGAATAATTCAGTTCAGTCCTTGTGAAGCAGTTTATACCTATTTATTTATTTGCATTCAGCCATGTTTTTAACTTGCGGTGTTGTGCATTGCTTTTGCATGCAAAGACAGTATTTATTTGATCAGATAAAAACTCTAAAATTGTGAAATATTATTACAATTTAAATGAACTGTTTTCTATTATTATATATTTTAAAATGTAATTTATTCCTGTGATGCAAAGCAGAATTTTCAGCATCATTACTCCAGTCACATGATCCTTCAGAAATCATTCTAATATGCTGCTTTGCTGCTCAATATATTTTTCTGATTATTATTAATGTTGAAAGCAGTTGTGCTGCTTCATATTTTTGTGGAAACTTGCATTTTTCAGGATTCTTTGATGAGTAAAGTTCAAAAGAACAGCATTTGTTTGAAATATTATTTTTTTGTAACATTATAAATGTGTTTGAGCAATCTAATGCATCCTTGCTGAATAAAAAAAATATATATATATATTTTTTTTAATTGTTAAGATTTTGCCTCATTAATGGCTTCAATGTAGCTTTGTATCTTCAATGAATAGCTTTTTTTTTTACCTGGGAGTTTAGTTTAACTACAGAGTCATGTGAAACTTGGGAAGGTGCCGTTACAAAGTAACTACTCCAACACAAACGTTCTAAATCAGACACTTCTGAGGTTCCATTTCAATTAGGATGCTTGCTCAGAAGGCAGCTGCCAATGTAGGCTGTGGAACAGAGCTGTACTGTGTTTGTTTGTTTGTTTGTTCACAGTACGGCATGCAGCTTTACCAGAACTTCGTCCAGCCCCATCAGAAGCAGAAGAGTTCTCCAATGGTGAGCCACAAACTCTAGTCCATAATCTGTCATGTATGTTTAGAACAGCAGAAGGTTTAAACCACCCAGAGGCTCTACGATAACCATAAACACACGTTACAGTCATACAGTGGAAACCAGCACTGAAATACTGTCATTTTTGCTCGGCACAGCCTTGGCAGGTTTCTTTTTCATTAGAAAGCACTTCATTGTTTTAAGAAAGTTCAAGGTTAAAAGTTCAAGATGTATGTAATGTACAGTAAATATAACAAATGTTACTTAAAATTAAGATTTGTTTCCTTGGTCTTGAGAAAACAGAAGTCATTTCTAAACTCAATATCCTGCTGCATCATGAATGAGTGAATTGGGTTTTAGTTTGATGTATGTAAGTGATATTCAGACTTCTGAATCAGTGACTGACACTTGAGATGAAGGCTGCACTATAGGGTCAATGCGGTCAATTTCATTGCCAGCCGAGCAGACTCGAGAAACCAAAATGTCTGCATGCTTATAGAATGATGTTTGACAGATGATGAATAAATGGTTTGCAGATGACTAGAAAAAGGGTGAGTTGTTGTGAGAAAATGAAGTCCAGATCACAAGAAAACAGCTTTTGTTATTTCAAGACTGCTAGAAAATAATGTTGTGAGCATGAGAAAACAAGATGGGAGAAAATAATAATGCATGGTCTTTGATGGCCTCTATATATTTCATAATAAAAATTACAACTATTTATTACACCTCTATATATATATATATATATATATATATATATATATATATATATATATATATATATATATATATATATAT